CAAGTAATATAAAATAAAATGAAATAATATAAAAACAACAAAAACTAATTTCTTTATAATGCTCTACATAGAGTCAGTCTCCGTCTATTCTGTCGGTTCTATACTAAGGCTTCAACGAGGTCTGTCTTAAATATTAAAAATTTTTTTGAAAATATTATATACACGGAGAGTTATAGACTAATAGGTCTTTGACTCTATGTAGAGTCTGTATTTCGTAACCGGCCAAAAGCGCTCCTCGAACCCTATTCGAAGAACCCAAACTCGGTATACCTAGCCCAATGGGTTCGAAAGTTACCGCGTTTTCAAGTTCTGGTTGAAAAACAAGATGGCTGCCAAAATACGGTTTCCGCGCTGTAACTTCCAAACGAACAGGCTTACAGCTCCGTGCTTGGGCTCATATTATTGGGCTCGACTAGGACTATAATTTTGTGTGGTTTTCAGGGATCAAAATTTTGGGTGCTGAAATTCCCTGAAAGCTGGGTTATCTGTTCCGGCACTATTTGCCAACGTCTAGGGTCCAAACCCCAGTCCTCTACGACTCCTAGAACAAAAGTTATTCCGGTCCTAATTTTTTCAAAATGGCCGCCAGTCCAGACAGCAAACGGCTATTTCGGGCGTCTTTTGACCGATTTGGCCCGTGTTTGGGCTCCTTTGAAAAGTCTCGGTGTCAAGCTTAAAGTTTTGTAAATATTTTGGCGATTAAAGCCCCTTTTAATAATAATTTAAACAAAAAACATATAATTTTTTAGAAAATTTTTGAATTTTTCGACCAAATTTAGTTTTAAAAATCTACAAAAATTTTGAGACGTTATGCTCAGTGTCCTTTCTATGAATATATATTTTTAAAATTTTTAACACGTTATATTAGGTATCATATGGTTATTTAAAAAATTTAAAAAAATTTTAACTTAAAAACTACTTATTGCAAAATTCTAAATTTTAATATACACATTTAATATACTAATCTTAACACTATTTTATTCTAAAAACCAAGGGCTTCAATTTCGTTATTGAGTAATTTAATAAACAAATTTTTCCAAAACTTAAAAGTCCAATATTTCTTTAACCACTTAACTTAAAATAGTTTCAAAAACTGCTCCCGGCTCCACTCCGCGTTCGCTAACAGAATGTGGCTCCAAAAACAGCCGCACGATTCTGCATCGCAGAACACGTGCCCACGTGTTACTTGTTTTTTTTGGGTTTTTCTCACAAACTGTTATTCACAAAAATCTCAAATTTTGCACATTTGTAGGGACCACTGATAACTTTAAAGCCGCACTATAAAAATGTGGGGTCTTCACTTTAGATTTTGAAAAATTTAATTTTGAAATTTTGGCAAAATTTAAAAGTTCAATAATTCTTTAACCACTTAACTTAATTTTGTTCCGAAAACTGCTCCAGGCTCTTCTCCACTTGTGCTACCGAAATGCGACTTCAGAAGTAGCCGCACGATTTCGGATCATGAAACACGTGCCCACGTGGCACTTGTTTTTTTTCGTTTTTCTCCGAAACTATGCTTCGGAAAAATCTCAAATTTTGTTCGTATGTAGGGGCCACCTATAGCTTTAGAGCCACACTATAAAAAGTTGGGGTCAAAGCGCTTAACGAACAGCGTTCCACTTTAAAGATTTTTTTACTTTTTTGAAAAACACTTTTTTCCGAATAACTTTTCAACCAAAACTCCGATTTTCTAACACTTTCCACTTATTTAAACCTCTCAACGAGACGCGTCTTTTGGTATATCGCACGTAAAAATCCGATGCAAAAAACCTATTTTTACGTATTTTTTAAGCGCGGAGCGACTCACAAACGTGGCGTTCGGGACAGCAGTTGACACCGGAATCGGGTTAGGTTAGGTTAGGTTAGGTTAGGTTAGGTTAGGTTAGGTTAGGTTAGGTTAGGTTAGGTTAGGTTAGGTTAGGTTAGGTTAGGTTAGGTTAGGTTAGGTTAGGTTAGGTTAGGTTAGGTTAGGTTAGGTTAGGTTAGGTTAGGTTAGGTTAGGTTAGGTTAGGTTGGTTAGGTTAGGTTAGGTTAGGTTAGGTTTTTTTTTTTTTTTTTTTATTATTATAATACTGCTGCTATGCATGCAGCATCCTTTATTACTATTGGTTTTTATCCAAAGTATGTTAAAACTTTTTTTTTTTTTTTTTTTCTTCTACTAACTAAACATTCTTTACTGACATATCATTTAACTGTAATACAATTTTGACTATTCAGTGTTACATTGCATATTATCTTTTCCTTTTTTTTATTTTTATTTTTTTTTTTTTTTTTTTAACTCTCATTATCTCTTACATTTGTAATGCTTAAAACTATTGATAAATTTGTTTAAATTTTACTACTATACATCAATATTTTATACAATATATTAAAAAAAAATAGTGTATAGCATATAGAGATGTTCTGTTAATTCAAGTTATTTTGTGCGCCATCCAATATCTTATAATAATTTCTACAATCTTATAAGCATTTTTTTTTTCAGAATAATTTTAATTTACATTATACATTACACTATCATTATGGTACATTTGGTTGTTTTATCTTTATAATGCTTATCAACTTATATTCTAGCTTATACTAGTTTGGATCCATTTGCCTTACCCGCAGAGCGTACAACAGCTTCTGAAAACTTAAGGAAATGGGTCCGACAGTCATCGTTGTTAATTGCATTTCTTAAATTATTAATAGTAAGTGCCATCCCCATCTTTTGTTCACAGTCAAGTCGTTGTATGGCGAATCTAGGACAGTCAATTATTAGATGTTCGATATTTTCTTCTTCGTCTTTACTGCAAACACAAGATGGCGACTGCGCTAGCTTATATTTATATAAATAAGCCTTAAAACCTCCATGTCCAGTTAGTAATTGTACTTTGAGATTGTCTATTTTTATATGCTTGAGTGTTCTATACGCTTCTTTTATGTCCGGTAGAAATTTCTTTGTTACAGCTCCCGTTGTTGCTGCACTATATCGTAGCTGCCACTCCATGCAAGTAGAGTCCCTGGCAAGTCGCTTCGCGAAAGACAGGGGGAATCTATCGTAAGCTGGAGTTTGCTTGTTAGAAAGTGCGGCTTTTTTCGCAAGTTCATCGGCTCTCTCATTACCGGCTAAGCCGATGTGTGCTTTAATCCAGCAAAGTTTAACTTCGCCACCTTTGTCTAATAGTGACGCTATTCGATCCCGTATTTTCACAGCTAATGGGTGCAGAGATGATGTGTTACTCAGGCATTCTAAGGCAGAGCGTGAGTCGCTTAGGATGATGCCTTTCTTTAGGTCTTTATGTTTGTGCATCAGATCTAGTGCTCTTAAAATTGCTGCGAGCTCGGCTTGGTAAACACTACAGTAATTTTCCAGCCTAAAGGTCGATTTTCGTATTTCCTGATTGTTCTTCCAAATTGTCACAGCTCCTCCAACTTTACCTTGAATCTTACTTCCATCAGTGTATAATTTTGTTGTTTGGGAGTCAATCAAACTTTCTTCTTCCTCAGAGGTAATAATCTCAAAAGGTATACGATGCCTATCGGCTGGATGTGGTAGGTAAAATGGATTCTCTGGTTTTTCGCAAATTCTTCCTGGAAGTTGGGTTAGGGGCTTCCCTCGTCTTATTTCATACAGTTTTAGATGTTCTGTTGCTCTAAGGTCCAGAGGAAATATTCCCGCAAGTAGAACACTGGAAGTAAAGGAGACTGTTCTATGTCCTTTACAGATCGAGATAGCAAACATTCTTGTGATACGGTCAAGTTTCTTCTTCACATATTCTTTCTTCACCGTTGCGGCCCAAACACTTGCCGCGTAAAGGATCGTAGGTTCTACTACCGCTATGTAAATAGTTTTTATTATTTCGGAGTTTAGTCCCCATTGTGCTTTTGCTGTTCTAGTCACTTTTTTATATAAATTGATAGCTTTCCTAAGAGCTTCATCAATGTGTTCTGTGAATCTTAAATTTTTGTCAATTGTGACTCCAAGTACTTTTAGACTCGCTGATGGTTGAACATAAACATTATCCATTCTTACTTGCGGTAGTTCTGGAGACAGTTTTTTAGTTATTATAACTGCTTGTGTTTTCTGTGGTGCAAATTTTAACTTACGGGCTTTACCCCATGCAACTATTTGATCCAATGCTGGGTTCAGTTCTTCCTCAATGGATTTTGCTGAGTGACCCTTTGCAATGACGAGTATGTCGTCGGCAAAAGCCTGAACGTGTACTTTCAGCTGTGATGTAATTTCGAGGAGTGGATCCAAGAGAATATTCCAAAATATAGGCCCACAGGTTGATCCCTGAATACACCCCTTAGTGGTGGATTTAGTTACTACTGCACCTGCATATTTTAACGATATATATCTCGAAGAAAGGTAACTGGTAATCAATCTCAGAATATCTTGGCTCACTTGTTTTCTATGCATTTCTTTTATTATTTGAGGCCACCATGCATTGTCAAATGCCCCTTCTATATCCAGGGATACCACCACAACAACCTTTTTTTCCTTGAGCCCCTGTTTTATAAAAGACATTGCATCGTACAAGGCGTCTTCCGTACTGCGTTGCGGCATAAATCCGTATTGTCGGCTGTTAAGTTTACCTTCTTTACCCAATTGCCAAAGAAGCCTGGTTACAAGAAGTTTCTCTAATATCTTTCCGAATATTGGAAGTAAGCCAATAGGACGGTAGGCTTTGGGTACTGTGTAGTCCTCTCTGTTAGGTTTTGGAATAATTTTTATTATAGCTTTTTTCCAGGTTTTAGGGAAATAACCTATTTCGAGACTCTTATTATAGATAGCCATTAGTGCTGAAGGTATGGTCTTATAAGACTGATAGCATAAATCTGAGGTGATGCCATCCTCTCCGGGTGCTTTTTTAGGGTCCATTTTATCTAAAACAGCTTCTATTTCTATCTCTGTAAAATTACGATGGGAAATGATCGAGTTTTTTCTTAGTTCATTAGTGATTTTGTCCGCTTCTTCTCGAATTTTGGTTTGTTCTTCAGTGTCTTTGTTTTTCTCATCATCTGGGTAGAAATTTTTTTGCCAATAACATAGCAGACTCATTTGCGGTGAGAATTTCATCGCCTAATTTCAGCAGTTTGTCTTCATTAGTTACACTACACCTTTTAATTATTCTGTATATACTTTGCCATACAGTTTCTTTTTCTTGTTTAGTGCAAAGTTCTTTCCAACTAGTGGTTATTGCTGACATTATATTATTAACATACTTTTCTTTTGCCTCCACGAAATCCTGAATAACGTGCGGTTTACGTCTTGTATTGGCAAACTTTATCTTTCTTCTAAGTCGTATGACTTTACGTCGTTCTGTTTCTAACTGTGCATTCCACCAAGGTGTACAAGTTTTATAGACATTTTTAGATATAGTTGGTATTGATTTCTGGCATGCTAATTTTACTTGCTTGACATATGTGTCTACGATATCATCCAACTCCTCTGGTGTTTGTATGGTTTTTATTTTATCCTCTATTACGTTCTCCTTTTCTAATCTTTCTTTCAGGTCGTTTCTGAAGAGAGACCAGTTTGCCTTAGCTGTATTAAATAATCGAGTGGAATTCCTTAGCACGACGTTCTGTTTGTCGATATTAATTATCATTTGAAACTGTATGGCTCGATGATCAGATAGTGTGACAAAATCGGGGTCCACCCTCCATCTTTCCATCTTATGTAGGATTGCCGACGTACAACAGGTCACGTCAACTATGCTGCTATGTAACTTTCCTCCTCGGTATTGGTAAAAGGTGGAGTCACTGCCCTGATTTAAGACATTCATATCCAGTTCAGCTATCATTTCCGATAAAAGTAAACCCCTCTCGTCCTCAGCTCTGCTCCCCCACCAGAGACTCCTTGCATTAAAGTCGCCTGTTAGAATGATGTTTTCCGTGTCCATATCTTGCACTATTCTTGTTATCTTCCTTATATCATCTTCTATGTTACCGTCTTTCTCTAAATACACATTTATAATGCCTACAACAAGTTTTCCTATTTTAACTATGAATCCTACAATATTTTCGCTAACATGCTCTGGATTTTCTATGATTAAGTAGGTTGGATCAACAACGATGACTGCCGATTTAACCGGTTTGTCTCTATTACTGGCAGTCTTTTGAATTACGCGACGATTACAAGTTACATGTGCTTTTGCACCTACATACGGTTCTTGGAGTAGAAGCAACGCAACGCGTTGTCTTATTGCCATGTGAAGACATTCCTTAAACGCTGCCATTCCTCGGCCAAGATTTACCTGTACTAATTTGGTAGTTAGTGTATCCGCTGAGTTTGAATTTGGTGCATTATCAGCAGAGGAGTGTGTACTTAACCGTAATTGCTCGATGTTAATACCCTGATCAATCTTAGCAATATGCTACCGAGGACCTGGCTATGCGATCCCACTTCTGCCACACTGGACATTCATTGCTGTATGCTACATGACTGAGATCACCCACAATTTTGTTTTTAGTGCAGTTGGCGCAAGTTGGTACTCCATTACTGCGTGGACATTCTCTGCTGTCACGGTCCTCTGCGCAATACCCGCAGGTTGATTTATCTGCCCAACACTCTCTAGCCCTATGTCCAAATCCCATACATCGGTAGCATTGCACAACAGGAGATTGGTCCAGGGCGGGTACCACTTGGTATCCCACATGCAGTCTTTGGTCTTTCAGTGCCTTCCATACCTCAGGGCTTACTTCCAATATTATATTGTTAATTGCCGCTGTTCTCCCCTTAATTCGTCTCAAGACCTTAGTCTTAATCTTTTCTATTTCGATGTGTTTTAGGAGCTTCATGTTTTGGTTAACTAATGCCTCTTCTAGTTTTACATTGTTTAGATCATTAGCTACTCCTATTAATTTAATTAGTGGGTTTTTAGCTGTTGACTTTGAGACCGTAAGCTTCTGATTCGAGTTTTTTATTGCATTTTGAAGCTTTTGCCGGTCCTCGTCATTGTCGCATGAGAGAAGCCCCTGATTTCTAACCCTTCTTATATTGTTAATACCTACTCCAAGTTGTACCACATCGATGTTGCTCTTTATAGTGTTAACAACATCTTCGCTTGTATGTCTGGGATCCGAAGATTCAACAACAAGAGCAAACCGTGGTGAAGTAAGTGCTTCTGCATAAGATTTTATTGGGCGAGTGGCTTGTTGTTCTTTTATTGGGACATTTTTGGGACTTTCCATTATTTGGTTTGTTATGGTGCTACAGTTATATGTCTCTAGATGATTAAGCTTGTCTCTGATTTCTGCAATTGCCAGCTCCGCACCCAAACCTGCGTTATTCTGAAACGCACTTTGGCTTACTCCGTAGTCTCTTATTTCCTTTATGTCCTCAGTGATTTTGTCTAATCTACATAAGACTGGTTCTATGGCTGTTGATGTACTATCCATAGCTGTTGACTGTGGAGATGTCAGATTTATGACTTGTGTTTGCAGATTACGGATTGTATCTTTAATATTTGACATGTTATTGGCAATATCATCAATCCGAGGATCTTTCCATGAGTTTAGAGCCAGCGCAATGTGTTCAATACTTTCTTTGTCCGCTACATTATTTTTAAAGACGTTGATGTCAGAACCAAGTGCATTAAGCTTTTCCATGATGCCACTTACTTGTTTCTCTATTGACGCCAATTCTTCCCTATTGTATGTGTGTTCTTTCCTTAGTTGTTCGCCAGTGATGCAAGTAGATAGATCTTGGCTTGTTTTGGTTGATATTTCATGTATTTCCTGTTTTATTTTGTATATAACTTTTATAGGGTCATCCATTTCGTAATTTAGCCAACCCCTTATTGCCTCTGTCGATTTTTGCGTTTCCTGCATGACCTCTTGGATGACTTTAAGTCTCTGAGTATAGGTGGATTGAAGCTCTGTTAGCTGTTTCGTATGTGCTCTTTCAACTCTCACCAGCTCTTTCGCTGCTCGACTGCGTTCCTGTTCTAAAGCCAGTCGATGACGAGAGCGTGAATCAGAGAGTGACAGCACTGTTTCATAGAGGCCTTGTAAGCAATCATGTACCTCCTGCTTGCACTCGCGCTTCATGTTTCCGGCTTTTTCCAGGGCCTCTTTGCCTGCGAGCAAAAAGTCGTTTGCTCGCTGTGTAGCGAGGTCCATAGAAATGCCAGCTCGTTTGTAAGCAGGTGGCAAGATGCTAGACCTCCTACTTTCTCCACTTACCATACTTTCGACATCTGACCACTCATCATCCGTGCGGTGCACTGGTTTACATAGTCCTAGAAGACCAAGCTCAGCTTCAATGTCAAAAGATGTATTATCATCAGTGGCAGTTTCGGGTCCCTTTGTTTTCATAGTTGCTATATTGGTTTTTTCATTAGGTTCTCCCATAATAATATTACTGGTGACAGATTCGGAGGTGGCCTCGACTTTCTCAGCCATTCCCCTATCCATTCTATCTGTATCTTCTGACACCTTTTTGGAGGAAGCTGCGTTTTGCATGAGGACTTTCTTTCGTAATGTTGGGGCCGAGGAGGGACTAACTCCTCGAACCGACCTAGACGTGGGTTTGGTTTGTTTCGCTAATTCTACACAAGATTTGCTAGATTTAACCGACATTTTTTTTTTGTTAGAGTCGATTTCCAAAGCTTTACGTAAAGTCAGAAGATTTATTACAATGTGGGGTATGCAAGGTAAGGCTTTCTATCAGCTATGCAAAAGACTCAGTGTGCTAAAAGTCACCGTCTTCGTATAACGTTCACAGACTCTATGTAGAGTCGGTGAGGTAAAATATCAATAGAGCTGGTGTTAACAATCACTTTGTCGAAAACCGCAGCTCAATAGGAGCCTCCGTTCCAAAGATATGACAAAATGAAATTTGTCAATATGGCGGAACAAGATGGCTGACTTAATTCTAATTTGGTTTTTATGCTCTTCTAGTACTCCTAAAATACCCGAGTTTGGGCTCAATCTTCTCAGTGAACTGCCGGCCGTCCAGTAATGGTATAAAATAAGTGGGTTATTTAGGTGGTTGCTTTTTTACTTTAAAGTAGTCTTCTACTTATATTAACAAGTATATTGAAAACCGCAACTCTCTATGAACAGTGGTTAGTGAGATATCTTCGTTCAAAGTTTTTGACGTTTTTCCAAGATGGCGACCGAAATTAAAAACTTTGTATATCTCAGTAGTGGAAAGAGGTAGACCCCCCCGACCTTGGTATTGCTAGATCGGTCTCGGTGCGTTCTATTTATTGATATCATTAAATTATATACTTTCTGTGATAAAATTCGAATAAAATACAAAAAACAGTAAAAAAAGTAGTAAAATAGCAATAACTTTTGAGGGATAAGTCCGAAAATTTTGAAAAAAAGTGTCAATTACTTACAATTTTAATTCTGCTTCCGAATATTAAATATTTGGTAATGTAGACCCTCCGGAACTGGGACCACGTGTTTAAAAAAATTTACAAAATTAAGAATATCTCCGATTTTTCTTGCGAGAAAAATCTAATATTTTCCAAAATATTAGAATATTCTTTATACTACAGATATACAAGTTAAAAAAGATAGGTACCCGATTTAGTTTTCGAGTTATTTGGTGTTAAAATTTCAAATTAATATAATTTTCCGGTTTTTACTTTATAAAATCTTATAGAGTGCACCGATTTTTATATGCAATATACCAGATAAAAGGTCTTAAGAAGGGCTACCAATATTCAAAGTTCAATTTAGCCGCACGCTTCGAATTCCGAAAACACGTGGCCACGTGGTTCTGAGAAAAACCCTTATAACTTGGGATTTTCTTACTGAAAAATTCCGGAAAAACGAAGAAAATGTGCACAGTACAGAGCATCAAATTATGGGATCAAAAAAAGTATGGGTAACAGCTTTAGTTTTCGCAGCGTTTAGCAAAATATGGTCAAATTTTACCTGATTTTTATGAAATTCGGCAAAATTCTCCAATATCTCTTCACACAAGATAGTGTACTTGCAACCGCTGCATCCAACTTAAAGCTAACACATTTCCGCACAATTTGATATATTGCACTTCACTGTCACACGAAATTAACTATTTTTCCCGATTTTTAGAAAGCGGAGCTCACTTAAAACGATGCTAACGCTTCGGTGGATGACGCGAACTGGGGGGTTAGGTTAGGTTAGGTTAGGTTAGGTTAGGTTAGGTTAGGTTAGGTTAGGTTAGGTTAGGTTAGGTTAGGTTAGGTTAGGTTAGGTTAGGTTAGGTTAGGTTTTTTTTTTTTTTTTTTTTTTTTTTTTTTTTTAAATCGCTTTTCCCCGATCATGGGATCATCGGGTCCTTATAAATCTATATTACTCATACATTCCAGTTCTCGCATGTATTCACACTTTCAGGCCGCATACTTAATCTTTCTTTTATCCATCCACGCTCATTCTTTGCCGGGTGGGACTCCCGCTACTCTATGCCTTTCTATTTCTTTTCTTTGGGAAAATAAAGTTTCGTTCATTTTATTTATTTTCTGTTATATCTTCAATAGTATTTACACTTTATATATTATTTAAGCTTACAAATTTCTACACTACACTCTACTTGCTAATTTTTATTTAACTTACAAATTTCCTTTGTTTACATATTTATTGGCTTACAACTATTGCACTTATCTTTATTTCTTAATTCCTACGAGTTTTATTTCTTAGTTCTATTTTAACATTTATAAATCTAACATCAATATATACTTACTATTTTCTATCATCTTATTTCTAACATTTTTCATTGCCGTTTTTTAATTCTATTCTTATATTTATTATCTGTATAGCAGTAAAAACTTATGTCTATTTATTTTTAACATTTTCAATTAACAATTTCACAGGTCTTAACAGTTATGCACATATCAGGATTGGTGAATTTCTGTCATGTGTCTAATTTTATACATCTTTCTATATTTTAGTCACGCTTTTCCTAGGCAATATAATATATATACTTAATTTATATATATATATATATATATATATATATATATATATATATATATATATATATATATATATATATATATATATTGTCCATTTCTTTTGCTGGTTTTTATTTCATGCTGTTTTCTTTTGTGTTGTGTTAGTGTTGTGATTCATGTAAGTGTTACTGTGCTGATATAATCGTGTATATTATATTATACATTCTATATATCAGTTGTGTTCATTTTGTCGTGTATTTCATGTTTGTGTGTGTCGTGTTAATGTTCCTGTGTGCTTTGTAGCTGTTTGTATGTGTAGTGTGATTTCTCGTAAATGGTTCAGGCATAGGCCGTGTTTGCACGAGCCAAGTAGTCCCATTTTTTCCGTACAGGGCTGTCTGAACTAAATGCATTATGGTCGGTCCTCCGCAACCCAGAGTGTGAGCAGTTGCAGCACTGTGGTTCATTCCCTGCGGAAAAGTCTGCGCATCTCTCACGGAGATGCGGTCCTCCACAGTGACTACATCTGTCCACACTCTCGGTGCAAAATTTCCGACCATGTCCAAAAGCGAGGCATTTCGTGCATTGTATGAGCGGGGACTGGTCCTCGACTCTTACCCTTTGAAGGTCCAGATAGAGGGCTCCAGCCTCCGTCATCCTCTGCCATACTTTAGGCCTAACCTGAAGAATGATGTGAACGGTCTTTGGATTTCTTGTCCGTTTTTTAAATTTTATTGCCATTTCCATGTCTTCTTCAGTTAGGCCAAAGAAAACGTCTTTGTTTTGAGCGTAGAGCGCCTTGATTATGTCTTCCTCTTCACTGTCTATAAAGACATCTTTTAGGATGACGAGAGGATCCTTATTTTTTATGGGCGCTACTTTTAGTCCATCACCGCGACTCTCTATTATTTTTTGGACTTTCATCCTCTCCTCTTCAGTGTCGCAGCCCAATATAATTTTTTGGTTCTTGGCCTTGCGAACCTTGTTGATTTTAAGGCCAGTACCTCTGGCGTCGACCGCTTTTTTCACCCTGGCGAGCACCTCGTCAGCAGTCTCCAGACCACTTTCAAAGGTGACCGCCATCGAGTGAAGTGCAGGGCGGTGGACGGGTTTGGCTGCTGCGACGCTGGCGTATGACTTAAGGACTGGTGCTGTGTTTATTTCGCATGCCAGTTCTTTTGTGACCTCCAAAAGATCTTCTTTGGCTGCGATGACATCATCGGCAATACCACCGATCAGATCTTTAATCAGGGCGTGCGTTCGACTCTCGACCTTCTCGGTCGTTTCGTCTATGGCAGCCCTGGTTTCATCGATCCTATCGGTGATCTTGTCGATCATGTCAGAGCCTCGGTCGTCGTTACTGTTATGGAGTCCCTCTATGTCTGTTTTCAGACTTTGCTCCAACTCGTTTATACGCCCTGTCAGCGTCGCTTCCACCTCTCCCAGTTTCCTAATGATAGTGTCATGCCCTTCGGACGACAAGGTTTTTATTGGTGATCCTGTTTTTGTGGCCTGTGCTTCGAGACTTTGTATGCGTCTGCTGAGCTCGAAGATTGTTCTTATACCCTTGTCTGACTGCACCCTTAGAGTCCAGCTCTACCAAATTATTTTTATTAAATAATAATATAAAGGTATTTGATCTCCGTATGACTCTATGTAGAGTATCTTTATAAAAACTAATGTAAATGAAAATAGAGTGGGAAAACAAGCGCACAATAAAATAAAAGAAAAATAAAAGAAAAATAAAATAAAGTAAAATGGCTCTACCTAGAGTCTGGTCTTATTATATATTTCAATTTAAAAATGTTAGGAAATATTTTAAAATAATTATCTTAAAAGTTTACTTCTCTCTACGTAGAGTCGTCTCTATCTCAATCCCACTCTATGTATTTCACAGTTATACCGTGTTAGGTAACTTAATTTCTAAAGATTAATATTAAATAAAAAACAGAGAACAAAAACCACAAAAAAAAAAACACAATTATATTTTAAGTGCTCTACATAGAGTCCTCCCCCCCCCCAAATTTGTTAGCTCTTTGATTGTATTATTTTTTGCAAAAGACCCGGTCCGAATCGGAGCACTAGTTAGCTTGCTATGACGATTTTAAATTTTTCATCCCCCAGAGAATAAGTCCAGGAGTCAACTTAGGGGTAGGGGGGTTGAAAATCACACCAAATGATCCGGTGGGGGTCGAAGACTATCCGGCTTCTGGATAGTGTGAGGGGGGGGGGTGACGGGGGGGGCGAAGGAAAATTTCGTCAGAATTGAGCTAGGAGGCTCCGTTTTCCCGTAAACTGAAAACACAGTTATCGTGCAGTTTTCAGGATCTCCTAGCTCTTACAAATAAATTCCTATCTCTGAAAGCGCTGCCTCAAAAATTCCGAAAAAAATAGTGCAGATAGCTAAATAAATTGTCTATCATACACTTAATTTAGAAAAATTTTTGTTATTAAAATTTTTTAAGTTTTTTAATTTTGAAAATCGATTTACAATTACAAACATCCGCAAAAAGCGTCTAATTCGAAAAATATTAAAGGGAAAATTTTGAAAAAAAATTTGGAAGCTAAGATTAGGTATGCCTTATTTTATGGAATTTTTTCAGAATTTTCAGCAGCACTTTCAGAACACCACGTGTTTACACTTAATAATAAAAAATTTCCTTACTTTTCTATTTACACTCCAAAAATTTAGTTTTTAATGTCCTTTGTTAGGTCCTGGATTGCATATCCGACTGAGCACAAGAAACACATATGTCGTCGCTGAAATTTCAGAGAAATTCACTTGTGAAATTTTCAACTGAAATTTTGTTATTCTCTGTGTTATATCTTCTGTGTTTCCTGTCCGATTTTGACAACCGAGGTGTCAAACGTTTTGGCTTGATGTCCTCTTCAATATGCCGACGTCAAAATTAGCCGCACGGCCTCCTATCCAAAAGCACGTGTCCACGTGGTTTTGGTTTTTCCCCAATATTTCGGTGCGCTGGCGTCGAAAATTTTTTCTGTTTAGCCTAATCTCTTAAGCTAATCAGGGCGCGTCTTTTCACACTATAAAAACTATAGGTCTTCGATCTAAATCGAGCAGCGTTACACTATAAAAGTTTTGGAGGTTATGAAAATCTGTTTTTTTGGTGATAACTTTTTAAATATTACACTTTTATCACTTTTTTATTATATCACTGTATTCGTCTCGTCCAGACGCGTCAAACGGTATATAAATCTTTAAAATTGGTGCACTTTGACCCAACACTTGGAATTTTCGAGCGCGGAGCGATATAAAATTGCTGCGTACGGCACGGCGTTTGGAGTGCAACTGGGTTAGGTTAGGTTAGGTTAGGTTAGGTTAGGTTAGGTTAGGTTAGGTTAGGTTAGGTTCCCGTGTGGAGTTGCCAGTCCTCCCATCGGGCGCGTCCCCAGGTGGCGGATAGGGGAATGCCACTCAGATATGAGTGGTAGCGGGAAACCGTCGCGGACCAAAACTGGCTGGGTTTGGGCGTACCTGTGGTTCCGAATGGAATCATAGGTACGAGGTACTTTTGTTGCTTCCCGTATCCTCTCCATTGAGAGGAACAGAGAATGTGACATGCGCGGTGAGATGCCAGGTGCACTCAGCTTTTGCCGACGCCGGGCAGCGCGTCAGCGCGGGATTTTCAGGGACTACATCCTGAAAAAAAAAAGGAAATTGAATGGGCTCAGGGTTCCCTCACCCGGTCTCTGGGCAGGCATGGGAAGAACCTGTATCGACTCTGCCACCGTTCGAACCTCGGAATCCCTTTGGCGTGTCGTGGATCATGTCTCGCGGCGCCTGAGGGGCCGAGGGCTCTTGGCTTAACCGCCTGGAGTCGCGAGGATGATAACCTCTATAAAAAATCACCCGAAGCTCAAGCGTGGCACGCCGTGAGGAGCTGCATGGCTGATGGGTAAATGTTCAGTCGTTAGCGTTGCCCCCCGTCAGGGTACCGGCCGACACCCTTGACGGGTTATGCATAGGCTTATCCGGGCAAAGGGGGCTCTGCTCGGATGGACCGTTACTTCCTCCACACTCGTGGGAAAAAAAATGGAAAAATATAAAAATTATAAAACATCAGAAGGAGATAAGCAGGCTGGATCGGAATCAGATGCAAGCCTATGTAGCGATGTATCAAGGACAGCTTCTAAGTCCGGAGGTCGCTCCCGTGGGGCGAAAAAGAGACGTATTACAAAATCAATATCGTCCAGCGACAATGAAGCTTTTTTAAAAGAGACGAATTCTGAGACAGGAAAAGAGGTGACACCATTAATGGATAATTCTGGAGAGTTCGTAGTGCCAGGGCCTGAGGAAGCTCTTAGTATGGCTGAGAGGCAAGTGGAACAAATGGTTTGTGCTGCAAATCAAAAACGAACTGCCCTGGGGCTACCTAATTTAGTCGGAGATGACAGCCGTTCGGCAATGGCTCTCAACCAACAGGTTCTCGACGATGTCGGAGTCATACTGATGGTAGCAGCCAAGTCGAGAAATCTGAAAGGCACATTTCAACGTGCCTTAAAGGATGCTGCCACGTCAATAAAAACAGTCGTGGAGGTCCTACATAAGAGGTCAGTGAATGAAGAAACGGCGAAATTGCAGGCTGAAAACACCTGCCTGCGCAGTGAAATAGAGGAGCTTCGTAAAGAGCTATCTGAAATCCGGCTTGAAATGGCGAGGATCAATAAAACACCTGCTCCACCAACTCCTCAGGTGCGAGGAGACAAGGAAAGTGAGGAATTGATAAGTTCCATTATGCGCCAAGTTGGTGACATGATGAATGCGCGATTGGAGGCGCTTGAGGAGCGGCTTCTCCCAGAAAAGCGTGTCCGCCCTCCGCTGGCTGCTGATGTGCGCAGAGATGTAGTAAATGATGCAGACATACTACGGCGGAAGTCTGATACAATTACGAAGGCTGACAAATACGCCGTAAAAACAAGAATAGGCAACAAGAAAATTCCGACGCTGGAAATACAAAGAGGAAACAGAAAGGGAAAGGGACACGAAGGGAGAACAACAGAAATGGCAACCAACCAGCCAACAGAATCACGCCCTCAACCTCCTGAGTCCACGGAAGAAGGATGGACCACAGTAGTGAGAAGAGGTAAAAAACGCAAGGCAGGAACCGTCAATCCTTCCAAGAGACCAGCATCTGTGAAACTGCGCTCCCCAAAATCCGCGGCTGTAGTTATAACACTGCAGCCCGGAGCTGAAGATCGTGGCCTCACTTATGCAAAGGTGCTGACAGAGGCTAGAAAGAAGATCGACCTTGCTAGCCTCGGTATCGAATCTCTGCGGTACCGACAGGCGGCCACTGGAGCCCGCATTTTAGAGATACCAGGAGCAACGAGCGGCGATAAAGCTGACTCCTTGGCTAAGATATTAAAGGAGTCGTTGCCTGAGGAGGTGGCTAGAGTATCTAGACCAACTAAATGTGCAGAGATGCGCATCTCTGGCCTGGACGACTCTATAACTACAGAGGAAGTTGTTGCTGCCATTGCACAGCAAGGGGAATGTCCTGCAGAAATGGTGAAAGTAGGCGAAATCCGCAGTACAAGCTCTGGCACTGGTACTATCTGGGTGAGCTGCCCGGTACCTGCAGCCAAGAAAGTTGAAGGGGGCGGGCGTCTTTTGATCGGATGGGTGGCAGCACAGGTGAAAATATTGCCACATAGACCATTACGGTGCTATAAGTGTCTGCATAGTGGACATGTGCGCGCGCAGTGCACTTCAGATGTGGACCGTAGTAATGACTGCTACCGATGTGGCCAGACTGGCCATAAGTCAGCGAAGTGCACGGCTGCGCCAAAATGTTCCCTGTGTATTGCAGCAAACAGGCCGGCTGACCACGTACTGGGGAGCAAGAGGTGCTCGCCTCCAAAACAAAGAAGAAAGGGCGTTATAGTGGGTGAAAGGACCCCGC